AATGATGACAATGACAATGACAATGATGATGATGATGATGATGATGATGATGATGATGACAATGACAATGATGATGATGATGATGATGATGATGATAATGATGATGATGATGATGATGAAGATGATGATGATGATGATGATGAGGAGGATGATAATGATAATGATGCTCATCATCATTATATAGGAGGACAAGCTGTTCCCCCCGACTGACCTTCCTCTCATGATGCATCTGTAGCATATTCTCGGCCTCTGTCACGTCCTTAGCCAGTTCCTCCTCGTTCATGCGGGTGATCATGTCATTGGACCAGTTGATCTGGACACACAAAACACATCAGTTTGAGTCGGAGTTCAGAGTTCATTTAACCTAATCTGTACGTCGTGTTTTACTACTGTATCCATACGATGCGGGGAACTCTGTGCCACGACTTGCAAAGAGGAAATTTACTCGTTAATCCGATCCGTACGCTTAGCATAGCAGTCTGTCAAAATGATTTTTTGAGAAATACTGAAACTTTCAGAGAGATCTTCGCTCTAGAAGTATTCTAAAATGTGAAGAATACAACCCCGGGGGCACAAAATTACCCCAGGGCGTACGGATAGGGTTAACATGGGTCACAAATAAACAGTCATCACAGAGTGTCACATCAGAGAAATTTTATCTGCACACACAAAACACATCAGTTTGAGTCAGAGTTCAGAGTTCTTTTTTTTTATTTAGTAAGAGTTTTACGGCACTTGCAACACAATAAGTTCATATAAGTGCCGAAGATTAGAGGAGTTACAAGAGAGTAACAAACACAAAAAAGAAGGAGGGGAGATAGAGATGATAGATTTTTTAATAGGAAAGAAGGAGCAAACCACACCAGAGCACCCACCAACCACCCACAGGGGTTCAGAGTTCATTTAACGTGGGTCACAAATAAATAGTCATCACATAGTAGTGTCACATCAGACTAGCTGATCTATACACTAGTGCTGGGCGGCTAGGTTCCAGATTATTGAAAGCTAGGAATCGTAGGAATGGACTCCGAACCCAATTACTTTCTTTCTAATAAAGTGATTTCTTCCGGTGTTTCCTGGTCGGCTCCGAACATTTTCGGGATTTAGGATAACCTTGATTTCAGAACAATAAGAAGCATCAACTTTTATTTTTCCAAAATATTATTTTTTTTAAAGAAGATGATTTTAATGATTGAATGGACTGGTAACCGTTGGTTTAAGTAAAAAGGAGTCGGAATTTTCTTCCGTAGCATTGATCGTGGGACCAGTTCCGGAATCGATCCTTCGCCCAGCTCTACCATACACACAAAACACTTCAGTTTGAGTCCGAGTTCAGAGACCTTTGAATTTAACGTTAGTAAAAAATCAATTGTTATCACAGAGTGTTGCATCATGTTTGTTTGTATTAGTGTAAGAGAAGGGTCTTGATACTAGGTCGGTCATTTTATGCTGAGAGAAAAGAAGACAGACAAATGGATAGACAGATAAAAAGAATGGGAAGGAAAACGAAGCAGGACCTACTTATTGTGGCATCCTCCAACCACCCACAGGGGGGGGCGCTCCATGAAATGGCGGATTGGTTAGTAAGTCAAGACACATCATAATTTCTAGCCTTGTATGTGACATGGTATTCTGGTGTCCATATTGATGTGATAGTATATATTATGTGACAAAGATGTAACCTCTGAATTATTTGATGTATGCATCACACTTGCCATATTTGCAACCCAAATTCCCCTCAAACAATCAATGACAGTGTTTTTTGGGGGGTTTTTTTCAGAATTATTGTATAGACTCTTTGTGGCTGGAGCAAACAGAGACGAGCACTCACCAGCTCTCTGGCGTCAGACAAGAACTTCTGCAGCTGGTACGACTCGGCCAACTTCGCTTTTCTGAAAGAAACAAACACAACTTAAGTTTAGTTGTTTTAGTAGAGGTTTTACTGCGCTGGCATCTGCATAAGGTCATATGAGCGCCAAGGGGTGGATGTCAATAGAGAAATCCTTACAGGGAATCAGACTTACTCTGCTCACCTCTCTAGCCTTAACAGCACAAAGTCTGCTTCGACTATCAAGGCACCCTGGAAAAAGCGGGTCGATAGTAAGGATTAGGAAAGAAAAAGAAACAGTTCCCTATTGCAGTTCAGGCTCAGTTATGAGCACGACATGGATGAATCAGCCCATTTACTATTACAATTCTACTTAGCATAAGAACTCGAGACGTTAATGTCCCCCTCCCTCCCCCCCCTTTAGGAACAACTCAAGTTAAGCATCAACAGTACTACTGTTGTTTGACAGGAAATTTAAGAAACCTAGAAATTTGCAAAGCAAAAAATCAAAAGCAGTCAATCTAAACTGACAAGAGCATAAATGATTGCAAAAGTTTTTAAGTGACCATTGAAACAATTTCTATTCTTTACATACACAACTCACACCACCATCCACACTGACCACAACACACTGACCACAACACACTGACAACAACACACTTATCACAACACACTGAACACAACACATCACCATCCACACTGACCACAATACACTGACCCCAACACACTGACCACAACACACTGACCACAACACAATGACCACAACACAATGAACACAACACACAGACCACAACCCGCCGGCGTACACACTGACCTGGCATCAGACAAGTCCTCCAGCCTCTCCCAGTTGTCCTCTGCCTCCTGTTTCTTCAGCTCAATCTCCTGGGCCCGGTCCCGATACTTCTGGCACAGCTTGCCTGCCTGGGTCTCCATTTTCTGCACAAATATACATCATCAAACATCACAAACCAAACATCAAGTATCACACACCAGACATGAGATATCAAACATAATACGGGGGGGCCATTACGGCTGGAACGGGCCAATCGCCCGACTTGGTCGCCTGAAACTAAAAACAAAGTTTGTTTTTGAGACCAAGTCGGGCGATCGGCCTGATCTGCCAATCCCATCCATAGTGGGCACCCCGTTTAACACATCAGACATCAAACAGCTAACATTGAAACACCACAAAAACTCAAAGAAAAATAGGTAGGATCAAGTGAAATAAAGAATAGGAAAGTGATAAACTGTTTATGTATTCTATACCAATCTTAACAATTTAGATCATTTAGCAGGCATGCTGCTTTAGCCCTATCTGAAAGAGCCAACTTGGGCTAATTGGGAAACAGCATTACTACACTAGACAAAAATATTTTGATCCACAATATCCATAAGCAGCAATTGAACTCAAGTCATCTGTGTGCAGCAGCAAGGACCCTAACCACTACACCACAGACTTGGCTCCAAAACTCCGTCATCCCTGAGCCCTTCCAGCCCTGAGCATACATCAAGACTTAACACTTTGCGGTCACTTGGCGCAATAATGTGCCAGTGAAAATTATCCGTTCTGGTCACCTGGCGCAGTTCTGCATCAGACCCGAGAAGACCATTGCAGTCGCTCTCCTGGCTGGGTGACCAGATGGGGTATTTTGTATTGCTGGCTGTGTGACTGCAAAGTGTTGATCATGTTGAAAATGCCGTAAAACATCCTCAAACCCCCACTTACCTCCAGCTGATTCTGCAGGGCAGTCATGTCCCTCTCCACCTCCTCCTGTTTCCTCTGTAGGGCCTGGACAGCGGTCAAGTCCTTGCCCAGGTCCTCCACAGACAGCAGCTTCTCCTTCTCATGGATTCTCTCGTTCATGTCATCCACGTCGCGGATAAATGCGTGGATCTCCAGGGCCGCGGCCAGACGGGATTTGTAGTCGTTCAGCGCCCCCTGGAGGTTATTCCACCTGGAACACCATTGATTGGTTGATTATAGGTATGTAGGTAGGTACGTAGAAGGTCAGTATGTAGGTAGGTAGGTAGATAGGTAGGTAAGTTTTAGTAAGAGTTTTACAGCACTTGCAACTCAATAAGGTCATTGCTGAAGAATAGATCTGTTACAAGAGAGTTACATACACAAAAAGGAAGGAGAGATAAGGACGATAGATGTTTGAGTTTGATAGGAAAGAAGGAGCAAACCACACCAGAGCATCCGACAACCACCCACTAGGTAGGTAGGCACGTAGACTAACTGATTGAATGGTTGGCTGATTGATACTTAGACAGACAAACAGACAGACGGATAGACAGATCATAAACAGATTGACTGATTGAGAAACTGATTTACTATAAACTTTTTACACCAATATTTTACCGAAGTGAAATCCCAGCCCATTAATAGCATCTTCATACTAACATAAACATACCAGTGCCAAACAAGGTCTCTAAACAAGGCACAAGAAAGAAAAATCAATGCATGGGAAATGAGGTGTCTCCGCAAAACCATCAGTGTCACCAGAAGAGACCGCATAAGAAACGAAACTATACGTCAACAGGAATACCACCAGTAATAAAATTCATAGAGCGTAAAAGAGTCAAATGGTTTTGACATCTAACCAGAATACCCCAGAAACAATTAGCGGCTAGAGCTTACAACACCAGAGAATCTGACTTCAAATCAAGAGAAAGACCAAGAAAGATCCGGCAGGATGAGGTTAAAAGGGTCCTGGAACAACATAACATATCTATCACAGACGCTACACACCTAGCACAGGGCAGAAACTTGCACCTCCCCTCGACATCCAAAGGATACAAGAGGAAGGAAAAAGTAAATGTAAGTACATTCTTTTTTTTATTATAGTAGAGGGTTTTACGGCACTGGCAACTGCATAAGGTCATATGAGCACCAGGGGGTGGGTGTCAACAGAGAAGTCTTTACAGGGAATCAGACTTACTCTGCTCAACTCTCTAGCTTCAACAGCACAAGGTCTGCTTCGACTATCAAGGCACCCCGTAAATAGCAGGTCACAAGAGAGTGACAAACATACAAAAGTAGAGGAAAATGACAATAGTAAGGATTAGGAAAGAAAAAGTAGCAGTTCCCTGTTGTAGATCAGGCACAGTTATGAGCGTGACATGAATCACCCCATTTACAATTCTACTGTGCTTGAACGAGAAATGTCCCCCCTTTGGGAATGGCCTAAAGACACTACAGTTAGTGGCACTGCCCCGGGGGGAGAAAGTAAGTACAGTAATCTTCACACAGATCAGATTAGAAGGCTGGTTGCTTCTACCTTGCCTGCCAGGGTCAACCTGGATTACACCACCACAGGAAACAGATGGAGACGTACAAACTTCATTCACGAGACAAAACTCTCTCTTTCAGTTATAGTTATAGTAGAGGGTTTTACGACGCTCGCAACTGCATAAGGTCATATGAGCACCAAACTCTCTCTTTTACAACTTTTTCTTTCACAACAAAACTCGCTCGTCGTTCACTGCAAAATTCACTAGTAGTCGTCAAAGCTCACTTTTCACGCCAAAAACTCATTCTTTGTTCATTTTAAAAAATCACTTATTAATTAACAAAACTCACTTTTCATTCATGAGCGCCCTCTTCTCCTTGACCTGAATGGTGTCGGTCCGTCCTTGAGAGATGAGTCGGTCGGCCAGAGAGTTGATGGCTTTGATCCTTTTGTCGTCGACGGTGATACCCTGAGGACGAACAAATGAGGACACACTTCAAACACAGACCACTTTTCTTTGTATCAAATAAAAACAATCAGACAGAGGCAAACACAGTTTTTGGGACACTTGAATAGACATAAGGACCTTGACCATCTAGCTCTCTCATTGATAAAATTGAAGGCAAACAAGGCAGGGGTAGATCCAGAGAGACTTACTTGGAAAGCCTATACAGATGGGTGACAGGTTAGTTTAGTTTTAGTAGAGGTTTTACAGCGTTTGTAACTTCATAAGGTAATATGAGCGCCAGAAGATCAGAGATGTCACAAGAGAGTAACAAACATAAAAAAGAAAAAGGAGAGATAAGGACCATAGATGTTTGATAGGAAAGAAGGAGCTAACCACACCAGAGCACCCGCCAACCACCCACAGGGTAACAGGGAAAGATCAGGATAATGTTGCTTTCTGAGAGCATCGGAGCAAAGGAATGAATGGAATACCATAATCCTTGATGTCTGTCGCAGATCTGGCACTAGATGATGATCAGTCCAACAGTTGGACCATTACATACAGACAGATGCCAGTCTTTGCACCCGTAGAGTTAAGAAATGCGAGGGAAATGAAAATTTCTCCTAGCTCTTTGTTGGCTTATAGAAATAAGTAAATATTTCCCTAACTTTAGAACTGAACGTCAAAAGAATAATTTCCGAGAAATTCAAAATTAGCAAGCAAAACACCTTATATGAGAATGAAATAACAAAGTTCAGTCATAACTAAAACATTTAAAAATTGTATACATGACAACAAAATTTATCAAGCAAAGAAATCATTTGCAGACAAGGGAGAGGGTGAATGTGGGCTTTGATTTGGAAGAAAATGGGTGGCAGGGTGGAGGTGGGGAGAGGGTGGAGGTGGGGAGAGGGTGCTTCTTTGGGGAGGAGGGCGGGAATGACTTGAAGCCAGATGAGGATCCCAAGTCTCTGTCAGTTGACAGAATGCAAATTTTGCATACTGTGAACAATTGAAGCTTGGTTTTCCAAAACTCTGTCAGTCAACTTTGACAAGCGTCTGATTTCACCACGATGCCTCACACGTTTATAATAATTATTATTATGTGCACATGAGTATATTATAATGATTTAGATTTTTTAATGCTAGAGTCCCGGATAGGGAACTTTCGGCTGTGAGCAGTGGATATGGCTGTTTCAGACAATGTACGAGTGTGGCATCGTGGTGAAACCAGGCGCTTGTCAAAATTGACTTACAGAGTTTTGGAAAACTGCTCTTCAATTTCAGCTCTATAAAAAAAATACACATATGTGGACATGAAATAAGTCTACCTTACTCCACCTTATTTCGGTTAGTACTTATTTATAGACATTATTTTTACCCAAAAAAAACATGTTTGAATTCCTGTCCTACACATGACAAAACTTATAAGAAAAGCAAGAGAAATAAATTGTTTCTCTGACTTGTTCTTGACATCAAAAAAAATTTTTTTTAATTGCTCTGATTTCAGATTTGAACGTCAAAACAATAAATCCTGAAAAGTAAGAGTAGGAAATTACCTATCTAAAAATAACTTATTCTCAATGAAATAACAAACTTAAAACATAATTGAAACATTTCAAACTCTGATGAATAAACAAGACACAATTCACAAAGTTGAGCAATTTGTGCAAAAGAGGGGAGAATGTGTGTGCTCAGATGGAAAAGAGGTGGCCGTGGTGATTTAGGGTGGCGAAAGGTTGAAGGGGGGGGGGGGCTAAATATGGGGAGATGGTGGAAGGGGTCCTTTTTTTCAGGGGCCACGGGGAGGGGGGAGAGGGTGAGGCGAACATGGAAACCGTATCGAGTATCCTATGAACCAGAGCAGAGAATGCCATTATTGTATACGGAGAACAATTTTAGCTACTTTGAATTACATCGCTACGAGAAAAATTCACCTCTGTGAGGATAAGATTAGTCTACCTTAAGGCACCTTTTCTGTCTCGTAAATATTTATAGACATTATCTTTAATTGTTTTGTTTTTTTAAGTTTGCAATCCACCTTAAATTACATCATAGCACATACAAAGACACTTCCAGTATCAGCTGTAACTGCTACTAGGGGGTCTACTCCCACAGTACCATACATCAATATCTCTTTAGTTTTAGTGCGAGTTTTACAGCACTTGCAACACAATAAGGTCATATAAGTGCCGAATATTAGAGGCGTTACAAGAGAGTAACAAACACAAAAAAGAAGGAGGGTAGAAAAGGATGATAGATGTTTGATAGGAAAGAAGGAGCGAACCACACCTGAGCACTCGCAAACCTCCCAATTTAAGAAAAATTCCCAACTTGGAAACTGAACCAACGTCTTTCGTGTGTAACAGCTAAGACCCTGATCATCACACCACAGACATTAGTTCACATTGTAAAGTGTGGTAATCAGTTTTAGTATCTCTACAGAACTACCACACAGTCAAGAAATAAACCGAAACAAAACGAAACAAAACAAAAAAACCACACAAAAACAGGGGAAAAAATTAGATCTTCCCAGGACCAACAATATTGGGGAACTTTACTACGGTAGTTGTTTTTTTCCAGCCACTGAATCCCGACCAAAAAATAAAGATGCTGAAGAAAATCTACAATAAGTTATAGAGATCTGCAGGAATAAAGAAGGATCATAGAGAAAATAAGATCAGGGAAAAATGGGAAAATAAAATTCCAGGACTTTAATTTATTTTTTAAAGAGACATCCAAAAATCTTTGTATTTAAAAGTAAAGGTATTATCAATTAAAGCTCTCAGGTTCATGAGTTTTTAAACTAGGCATTTTAAAAGCATCTTACAGAGTTTTTGTTTATTCTTAAAATATGTTTTTAAATGAGCTATAATTTGTATTTTGAATTAAATCTTTTTTTAAATGAGTATTCAATTAGCTATAACTTGTATTTTTAATCAAATTTTGAATTAAATCTTTTTAAAAATGAGTATTCAATGAGCTATAATTTGTATTTTTAATCAAATTTTGAATGAAATCTTTTTAAAAAATGAGTATTCAATGAGCTATAATTTGTATTTTTAATCAAATTTTGAATGAAATCTTTTAAAAAAATGAGTATTCAATGAGCTATAATTTGTATTTTTAATCAAATTTTGAATGAAATCTTTAAAAAAAATTAGTATTCCATGAGCTATAATTTGTATTTTTAATCAAATTTTGAATGAAATCTTTTAAAAAAATGAGTATTCAATGGGTTCTTGGAATGTTCTTGAAGTCTCACCTGAACTATTATGATAAGTGTACCATAAGACGCTTGTTATTTCTATTCACACTAACAAAAAATATTTTTAAAATATAGCACAAGAATTATGGTGAGAGAGATACTCAAATGATAAAGTAGATCAGAAAACAAAACAAAACGACCACACACAGTATCTGAAATAGCATAATGAGAAGACCAAAAAAAAAAAAACGTGACTGTGGAGTCAATGGTCAACTGAAGTACGTCAAAGGTCAACTGAAGTATGTCAAAAGTCAATTGAAGTATGTCAAAGGTCAAGTGAAGTATGCCAAAGGTCAACTGAGGTATGTCAAAGGTCAACTGGGGTAGGTCAAAGGTCAACTGAAGCATTGAAATAAACAGGGGAAAGGAAGAGCAGCTTGGGTGTGCAATGTACAAAGTAGGTCAAGGCCTCATCACCGGCAGAAACGGAGCCTTATTGATGGTCTCCGTCCCTAGTGCGACCTTTGACCTTTCTACTGTTTTAATTTTCTCCACACAGCATCACTCACCAGGGGACTGTTGTGTCGGGGGTCACTGGACACCTTGAAATCACAGCAACAGGTTAAATTAAGTAATTGCAGATTAGATGTTTTATACGCCCCCACCGACACAATATACACCAATAAAAAAACCACAGAGGAAAAATCAAGTTAGAACGGTCATCATGGCAACCTTCTTTTTTGGGGGGGGTTGTGGTTTGTTTGAGTAAAAAGAAGCGACTGACACAATAACAGTCTTTTCGTGAAAGGGACGAGAAAAACAGACAGACAGAAGCAACAGAGGGAAAGAATAGATGCTAAGATGTAGCACTGGCGCCCTCCAACTTTTTGAATGTTTGTAAAATGCCCAGCTATGGTCATGTCGAAGTTGGAACATGACACTCTTTTGTGAAAGGAAAAAAGACTGAAGATGGACGTTTTAAACATCGGCCTACAAAGATTAGAAGTATTAGGAGACAAGCCACATTTACCCTGTCTGTCAGGGCCAGGAACCCAGGCTGAGTTAGGTACAACACACAAACAGAGACACTCTATAAAACAGACTTCCACGTCTGAGAAACTGGGCGTCGTCTTTCACGTGTTATGGTCAAGAAACTTATCCGTTCCTCACTTGGGAATCGACCTCAGGTCTCCAGCATGCAACAGGAAAGAGCCTTAACACTTTCCACCTACCCAGCACGCACAACACTTATTCCGACGTACCACAATACAGGTGCGGTACACGCTATATCACACCGTTGCTGATCGGCGTCCCGTGGGGGAAAAGGGACAGCTTCTTACTGTCGCCGATCGGCGTCTAGTGGGGGCAAAGTGTTAATTCTTAAACCTCAGATACCAGTTTTGGGCCAGACTAAGTATTTTTCACAGTCTGAAAACAATGTTTTTGCATTGAGTCTTCTTCTTTGTGTTCTCTTGCAAAGTCTCAGGGATAGGCGACTGCTGGTACTGCAGCCTGCAGTGCAACTGATTTTTACATATGAGAGCATTTTTCCTACTTCGTAGGGCCCCTTGCTTTCAGGCGGCCACATTCTGATATTGCTTAGAGTGAAAACGTGTTTCTGTCATGTGCCAGAACAGGTTCTGGTTTAGTCAAAAAATATGTGTTTCCTTTGTGAGAGAACAAGTTTTTTCTTGGAGACATAACATTTTGTTTTCCTTACTGGGAAACTTTTTTTTTCGGGGGGGGGGGGGGGGGGCTTGGAAAGAACTGGCGCTTTTTACTTGGTGTCAGAACATGTTTTTGCTAATAACAAAGCAAATTCTTTTATAAGAAAAACGTGCTTTGAGCTAGAACAATACAAACAAAACAATTATATCAGTGCAGTTGAGATGTTAGCTAAAACATACAACAATAAGCAGAAAATAAAAAGCCAGCATCCCCGGCTGGGAAGTCTCACCGCAGACTCCAGGTCGTTGGCCTTTTTCCTCAGCTCCAGGCAGTGCTCGTAGTCTTTGCCAAGGTCATTCTGCTGGACCAGTGTCTCCTGCAACAGAGGGAGGGTAAAAAAAAGAGCCAATCAGCATTCTCCCATGTCGTCCAAAGTCACACATACAATTATGAGCCAATCAGCATTCTCGCATTCCGTCCAAAGTCACACATAAAATTATGAGCCAATCAGCATACTCGCATGTCCTCCAAGGTCACACATAATATGAGCCTATCAGCACACTCCCTCGAGGTCACACTTACAAGATGTCTTAGGTCACACACGTACGCATGCCATTCAACACACTCGCCCAAGGTCACACGCATACATCAACCAATCAACAAACCCTACTTAGCCGGTCGTCTTGACCTCGGTTATCCAAAAAACAAATATAGTAATCTTCCACAAAAGAGTTAAGTGAACAAGAAGAAGTCCTCAACAAAATCCACAAAACAAAATATTTACCAGAACTACTTCTCTTCATTCTCATTGTCATTATCCTCAACATCATTGTCATCATCATTATCAGCACCATCATTATTACCATCATCACTACCATCACTACCACCATTTTCCCCACCACCACTATCACCCTCATCATCATCTCCCTCAAACTCATACTCACCACCACCACCATCATCATCATCATCATCATCATCATCATCATCATCATCATCATCATCATCATCATCATCATCATCATAATCATCATCATCATCATAATCATCATCATCATCCCCATCATCACTCACCTTCTCTCTGATCCACACCAACACTTTGTCCACTTGCTCCATAAACTCAAGGATATCTTTGGCCTCTTCCAGACCTTTGCCGCGATTGGCTGAGGCACGGAGTAGCTCCTCCCACTTCCCTGTCAATCGCTGGAGGCTCTGCTGTATCTCCCCCTTGGCCCGGTGTCTCTTCTGGATCAAGAGCTCCCCGACCTGCCACAAATCACAATCATTATTGTAAAAGATCGTGCATTATGTATATATATACACACATCTGATTGACTCAGTTTACTTAATAATAATAATAATAAATGACATTTATATAGCGTTCAACCCCGATTAAAGTACACAGGCTCTGAGCGCTTTACAATACAGTACAACGTACAACAGTAACATAAAACGTTGTGTTTTGACTACAAGAAAATCACTCCAAATATTCATCTTATTAATTTAAAAACAGAAACGACTTCAGCTGACATTTGAAGGAATCAAAAGATTTCATCTCTCTTAAAGTACTTGGTAAAGCATTCCAGATCCAGGGGCCTCTGATACTTCATATCAGATGGACACAATTAAGATAATTGAATATTTTGTATTCCACGAACACTATATTATAAGTTCAATATTTTGTAGGTCATCAATGCAAAATAGATAACTCAACATACCGTCGCCTCAGAACTATTTTGTCCAAAGCCCCTCTTTACTTAAGTACACTTTGAACAAAATAATTCTGAAGCCACAATATAATATCCCTTAAAAAACTTATCATTTCTACAGCTGTAATCTTTAGTTATCTATTCCTCCCAGCAAAAGGGAGCAGACAGTAAAATACCTTTCCCTCCACTAGGATTGAACTTTATAGTGCCCTGCACGAAATGTGAACAATTTTTAACCATTACAGCACAGGTGTCGGTTGGAATCAAACTCATGATGTCTCTTGCAGGAAACTTCAAAAATCCTGACAACTACAGCACAGACGGTGGTCGAGTTATAGCAACAGTAGACTCACTGCAACTTTTGATTCACCACTACAACCTTTGCCCCCACCATGACCTTTAACTCACCACTGCCATTTGACCCATCATGACCTTTGACCCAACATGACCCTTGACCCACCATGACCTTTGGCACGTCATGGCCTTTGACCCACCATGACCTTAGACTCGCCATGACCTTTGACCCGCGATGACCTTTGACCCACCTGTTTGATGCTGTTGATGCGGTCAGTGTTGGCCACAATCTCCCCGTGGAAGGCCTGGTGCTTCTGCAGTTTCTTCATCTTGTCGTAGAGATCGGTCACGTCCTTGAAGTCGTCCTCGTAGGCAACTTTCAACTTGTCGTCAATCCAGCTCTCAGTCTACATGCACGGACAGGAGATAAAACATGTCCATATCGGTTGAGTTTTTGTGGAAAGAGGAGAAAGTCAGGCTAAGTTTCATGTAAAGAGGAGCACATCAAAAGAATGCATCATTCTTTTTTTTTTAGTAAGAGTATTAGGGCCCTTGCAACACAATAAGGTCATATAAGAGCCGAAGATTAGAGGTGTTACAAGTAAGTAACAAACACAATAAGGTCATATAAGAGCCGAAGATTAGAGGTGTTACAAGTGAGTAACAAACACAATAAGGTCATATAAGAGCCGAAGATTAGAGGTGTTACAAGTAAGTAACAAATACAAAAAAGAAGGAGGGTAGATAAAGACGATAGATTTTTGATAGATAAGAAGAAGCAGCAAACCATACCAGAGCACCCGCCAACCACCCATGCATCATTCTCTGAGCGGGAAAAGCATAATAGGTCGACAAAAGCAACAGAGGGAAAGAAATGAAGTAAGACCTACCAGTGGGTGGCAACAATTAGTTTTAGTAGAGGTTTTACGGCGCTCGCAACCTCATAAGGTCATAAGAGCGCCAGAAGATTAGAGGTGTTACAAGAGAGTAACAAACATAAAAAGAAGAAGGGGAGATAAGGACGATAGATGTTTGATAGGAAAGAAGAAGAAAACCACACCAGAGCACCCGCCAACCACCCACGTGGCAACAATTAACAGACAAAAACATCAAAGAGAAAGAAAAGAAGTAGACTGACCAGCAGCGCAATCAGATATCCAACCACCCACAGTCTCACTGAGTTTAGTTTAGTTTAGTTTTAGTAGAGTTTTTATGGCACTCGCAACTGCTTAAAGTCATATGAGCGCCAAGGGGTGGATGTCAACAGAGAAGTCCATACAGGGAATCAGGATTACTCTGCTCACCTCTGTAACTTCAACAGCACAAGGTCTGCTACAACTATCCAGGCATATCGGAAATAGTGGGTCACAAGAGTGACAAACATACAAAAGATGTAGAGGAAAATGACGACAGAAAGGATTAGGAAAGAAAAAACAGCAGCTCCCCGTATGCAGTTCAGGCACAGTTATGAGCATGACACTGATGAATCAGCCCATTCACAATTCTACTGTGCATAAGAATATGTTAATGTCCCCCCTTTGGGAATGACCTAAAGACACCTCAGTCAGTGGCACCGCCCCGGGGAGTATAGTCTCACTGAGACAATGTCTACTCTCATAGACATAAAAGAAAAAAAACATGATCACATTAGTTTAGCTTTTGTGTAAAGTAAAGAAAAGCAAACAGACTAAAGTTTTGAGCCTGAGAAAATATATGCATTAATGCAACAATGATCATTTCGAACTGGGAAAGACCAGTTGCTTAGTTTGTTTGAATAAAGAGCAGCACAAAAATGCAATGACTTTAATCAAGGGCTGATAGAAAAATCCAGACAGGTAGATAAAACTAAGACTTTCATTAAGTGCTGATAGAAAAATCCAGACAGGTAGATAAAACTAAGACTTTCATTAAGTGCTGATGGAAAAATCCAGACAGGTAGATAAAACTAAGACTTTCGTTAAGTGCTGATAGAAAAATCCAGACAGGTAGATAAAACTAAGACTTTCGTTAAGTGTTGATGGAAAAATCCAGACAGGCAGACTTAACTAAGACTTTCGTTAAGTGCTGATGGAAAAATCCAGACAGGCAGACAAAACTAAGACTTTCGTTAAGTGCTGATGGAAAAATCCAGACAGGCAGACAAAACTAAGACTTTCGTTAAGTGCTGATGGAAAAATCCAGACAGGCAGACAAAACTAAGACTTTCGTTAAGTGCTGATAGAAAAATCCAGACAGGCAGACAAAACTAAGACTTTCGTTAAGTGCTGATAGAAAAATCCAGACAGGCAGACAAAACTAAGACTTTCGTTAAGTGCTGATAGAAAAATCCAGACAGGCAGACAAAACTAAGACTTTCGTTAAGTGCTGATAGAAAAATCCAGACAGGCAGACAAAACTAAGACTTTCGTTAAGTGCTGATAGAAAAATCCAGACAGGCAGACAAAACTAAGACTTTCGTTAAGTGCTGATAGAAAAATCCAGACAGGCAGACAAAACTAGGACTTTCTTTAAGTGCTGATAGAAAAATCCAGACAGGCAGACAAAACTAAGACTTTCGTTAAGTGCTGATAGAAAAATCCGGACAGGCAGACAAAACTAAGACTTTCGTTAAGTACTGATAGAAAAATCCAGACAGGCAGACAAAACTAAGACTTTCGTTAAGTGCTGATAGAAAAATCCGGACAGGCAGACAAAACTAAGACTTTCGTTAAGTACTGATAGAAAAATCCAGACAGGCAGACAAAACTAAGACTTTCGTTAAGTGCTGATAGAAAAATCCAGACAGGCAGACAAAACTAAGACTTTCGTTAAGTGCTGATAGAAAAATCCAGACAGGCAGACAAAACTAAGACTTTCGTTAAGTGCTGATAGAAAAATCCAGACAGGCAGACAAAAATAACAGAGGGAAAGAAAAAAAGGTAAGAATTACCAGGAGCATCCTCAAGCCACCCCCTACAGAAAGAAAGACAGACAGACAGAAACAACAGGGTAAATAATGAAGTAGGACTTACTATGAGTGGCTCAAAGCATTTATTTCAGAGATGCCACCCACACATATGCATACACGCACGCAAGCATGCAAGCACACACGCACGCACGCACACACACACACACACACACACACGGAATCATGTGCACGGAGACTCGAAATTTATAGATCATACTGTCTAATACATTTTGTATCAAGTCTGTTTTTATATACAGTAAAAAATGAGTACGACAAAATTTAAGAAATCTGGATTTCTGAGTGTTGGTTTTTTTAGTAGAGGTTTTACGGCGCTCGCAACTGCATAAGGTCATATGAGCGCCAAAAGATAAGAGGTGTTACAAGAGAGTAACAAATATAAAACAGAAGAAAGGGAGATAAGGACGATAGATGTTTTATAGGAAAGAAGAAGCAAACCACACCAGAGCACCCGCCAACCACCCACATGCTGGAAGTTTGTATTTGGGAGATCAGCGTCTTTGTACCGTACATAAAGACACGGTCTCTTTTCATAAGACGAGAGACGCAGTCCTAATGAGACAAAGTCTTGGTGACTCATTCAACCAGTGCGATGATGATGATGATAGTCTCACCTCGTTCTCGTCTCGACAGTACTGCTGATACAGCAGAGAGTCCGACAGGTTGCCATGTTTCTGAGCAGACAGTGTCTGGATGTTTTTACGTCTGGAGAAAAAAAAAATCTTGGTTGAGTAACGAGAAGCAAATTGAAAGCGCAGGGTGATTTTATTTTTGAAGTAAAAAAAAAACTACAATTGATGATTGAGTAAAGAGAAATGGATTGACACAAAAGACAATCAACATTTTGTGCAGGAAAAGAGACAAGATGGACAGACAAAATGGGGAAAGAAAGAAGTAGGACGTACCACAGGCCCCCTCCAACAACTCACAAAGGTAGATAACAAATGCTGAAATAGAGCATGAAGATGAAACAAAACCTACACACTATATAAAAAGTAGTGGGAGACTCAAACATTAAAATACAATTTTTTGACTAAACTAATTTTATGGACAGAGTACAAATGTTCAAATTTCTAAACAATTTATTAAATCATGGCCATATCACAAAATTTTGGAGAATAAAAAAACTCAAGAAATAAAACACGCAAAATGAAACAAAATACTGCCCATGTCACAGAAACAGAAAAAATCCCATATTTTCTTTTTTTTTGTTTAACCCAAACATTTCTCTACATATATCATGACTATTTAAAAAAAAATTGTACTTGTAATGCAGAAATAAAAACAGACACACATCATCATCACTGACTGACCTTGAGGTGACCTCCGCTACTGTCCTTTTGACGTTGGGAGCCTCGAAATGTTGACTGTCCACTAGTTGTTGACCGTGCTCTGTGATTCCAGTCAGCTGTTGTTGTTTGGGTTGTTTTTTTTTGGGGGGGGAGAGATTATGAAATAAATAATGTACTCATAAATTGGGGGAGAAAACTTGTGGGGCAACTGGACAACAGCAAGAGATCTTCAGAGGAAGAACCTGCTTCAAGGAAGTGTTTCTGCGCTAACTACCTGGCACTGATCTAATATTCAACCCTTCGCAAGAAGGGTTGAGAAAGGGCTTCTTCGGAGTGAATGGATGAACCCAATACAACACTCATCCCTTAGAGCCATCACATGGATATTCTGTCCTGGGCACTCTGGAGTGAAGGGCAATGAGGAGGCTGATAGGCTGGCAGGCAGTGCCGTGGTTGATGGTGAGTTCATCCATTCACTCCGAATTTGACAAAGGAGAAGTGTTGAAGACCCTGGAGAAAAAGTTGCGGGATGAAGAAGACAGGGAGACAGCAGAACACCACGCAATCATTAGGATGTGGGAAATGGGGATAGAGAGGGGAGAAGGAAGAAAGGAACGATTATCTGGAAAGGAAAGACGTCGCCATAATCAGACAGCCACCGGAACAATCAGTATGGACACCTTGCGGGCTTTTATGCTGGGGGGAACTGAGCACTTATGGACCTGTCCGGAGTGCAATGACGTTGTTACCCAGGACAGGTAATACAGGTAATCTTATATTCTAGGGGGAGTTTCATTGAGAGATAATTGGAGAAACGCTGGAGTTAGTAACATGATGCCAAAAAGGATGTCAAGGAGTCTACGGGGGGGGCCGGGCCACACTCAGACGGAAGAGGTCCAGGCATTCGAGAAAACTGCCAAAAAGGATGTCAAGGAGTCTAAGGGGGCCGGGCCACACTCAGATGGAAGAGGTCCAGGCATTCGAGAAAACTGCCAAAAAGGATGTCAAGGAGTCTAAGGGGGCCGGGCCACACTCAGACGGAAGAGGTCCAGGCATTCGAGAAAACTGCCTAAAAGGATGTCAAGGAGTCTAAGGGGGCCACACTCAGACGGAAGAGGTCCAGGCATTCGAGAAAACTGCCAAAAAGGATGTCAAGGAGTCTACGGGGGCCGGGCCACACTCAGATGGAAGAGGTCCAGGCATTCGAGAAAACTGCCTAAAAGGATGTCAAGGAGTCTAAGGGGGCCGGGCCACACTCAGATGGAAGAGGTCCAGGCATTCGAGAAAACTGCCAAAAAGGATGTCAAGGAGTCTAAGGGGGCCGGGCCACACTCAGATGGAAGAGGTCCAGGCATTCGAGAAAACTGCCAAAAAGGATGTCAAGGAGTCTAAGGGGGCCGGGCCACACTCAGATGGAAGAGGTCCAGGCATTCGAGAAAACTGCCAAAAAGGATGTCAAGGAGTCTAAGGGGGCCACACTCAGACGGAAGAGGTCCAGGCATTCGAGAAAACTGCCTAAAAGGTTGTCAAGGAGTCTACGGGGGGGCCGGGCCACACTCAGATGGAAGAGGTCCAGGCATTCGAGAAAACTGCCAAAAAGGTTGTCAAGGAGTCTAAGGGGGCCGGGCCACACTCAGATGGAAGAGGTCCAGGCATTCGAGAAAACTGCCAAAAAGGATGTCAAGGAGTCTAAGGGGGCCGGGCCACACTCAGATGGAAGAGGTCCAGGCATTCGAGAAAACTGCCAAAAAGGATGTCAAGGAGTCTAAGGGGGCCACACTCAGACGGAAGAGGTCCAGGCATTCGAGAAAACTGCCTAAAAGGTTGTCAAGGAGTCTACGGGGGGGCCGGGCCACACTCAGACGGAAGAGGTCCAGGCATTCGAGAAAACTGCCTAAAAGGTTGTCAAGGAGTCTAAGGGGGCCGGGCCACACTCAGACGGAAGAGGTCCAGACATTCGAGAAAACTGCCTAAAAGGTTGTCAAGGAGTCTAAGGGGGCCGGGCCACACTCAGACGGAAGAGGTCCAGGCATTCGAGAAAACTGGTTGAAGAAAGGCCTGAATGCTGGAGGTTTACATTTGAAATTTCCCTCACCACAGCAAGAATTTATCACTGTCCTCATGGTATTATTACTATCATCAATTTGAAATTTCCCTCACCACAGCAAGAATTTATCACTGTCCTCATGGTATTATTACTATCATCAATTTGAAATTTCCCTCACCACAGCAAGAATTTATCACTGTCCTCATGGTATTATTACTATCATCAATTTGAAATTTCCCTCACCACAGCAAGAATTTATCACTGTCCTCATGGTATTATTACTATCATCAATTTGAAATTTCCCTCACCACAGCAAGAATTTATCACTGTCCTCATGGTATTATTACTATCATCAATTTGAAATTTCCCTCACCACAGCAAGAATTTATCACTGTCCTCATGGTATTATTACTATCATCATTGTTTTTATTTTGTATCATTATTATTATTATCATTGTTGTTATTATTATTATTATTATTATTATTACTATCATAAACATTATCATTCGTATTATTTTGCTTCAACTATTAACCTATATGAGTAGCAGAAGCAATAGATAATTTTTATCACTTTTGCCATATCATTGCTATAACAATTTATTTTATTGTCATTATCATCATCACAATCATAACTACTATCATCGTTACCACTGCCCATTAGTGGCTAGTCATGGAGACACGTAACAGGTCAAATGACACTATGAGCCCCTGATTGGTTTGGGTTTTGTGGGGGGGGGGGGGGGGGAGCAGCAAATAGCACAAACAAACAAACAGCACACACACTTAATAATAATAATAATAATAATAATATACAACATTTATATAGCGTATTTCCAAAAAAGTAGCTCAATGCGCTTTTACATTGGAATACCCATTTTTCAAAACCTTTCTTACTACTTCCTTTCTTCTTATGCAATATTGTGTTGTTGTTCGTCTTTCGCATATGAAAATGACCATGACTTCACAAATTGGTCTGTTGACGGTTACTGTGAGTCCAGAGATGGCTGATTAGTCCTATCATTGTGGGCACGGGTAGTCTGCTGTTGGACTTGTGGTGGAGGCAGGTCTAGACTCAAGCAATATATATTAAAGCACACACACACACACACACAGACTATATTCATCCAGACATAGGAACAGAACAACTATAATGAAAAATAATGTTAAAAGCTTATGACGTACGACCTCACACCTTTTCGTTCTGGTTCTCCAGAACCTTCTGGAAGGCCTCGTGTTTGCGGAGCAATCCCTCCACCTGCTCCACACTCTCCCCTGTGTCGGGATTCTGGAGGTACGCCTGCAATACAAACAAGTGGAATGGGTTTTTTAGTACGAATTTTACGGCACTTGCAACACAATTAGGTCATATAATAGTCAAAGAAAGTTAACTTTTAGTAAGTATTTTATGGCACTTGCAACACAAAAATGTCATATAAGTGCCGAAGATTAGAGGTGTAACAAGAGAGTAACAAACACAAAAAAGAAGGAAAAATTAGGACGATAGATATTTGAAAGGAATGAAGGAGCAAACCACACCAGAGCACCCGCCAACTACCCACTTTTTTGTATGAATTTTATGGTGCAAGCAACACAATTAGATCATATTATAATAGTCAAAGAAAAAAGGTACTACTTACAAAGAGTATCTCATAAAGAAAAGAAGGAGGAGAAATAAGGACGAAAGATGTTTGATAGGAAAGAAGGAGCAGACTGCACCAGAGCACCCGCCAACCACCCACTCACCTCCTGTGTAGAGCTGATGCGGTTCAAAAGCTCTGTGTCACGCAGAAACACGTGTAGGTCGTAGACTTGGTCGTACAGGTCCTTCCTCTCCTGCCAGGTGTTCTGTAGCTGTTGACGGGCTCGCTGCACCTGGCCCACCTTGGCCTTGACCTGACGAGGGGGAGTCGGAAACACACACTTACGACAGCACATGGCAACAATCTGACCAAACCACAACGTAGAAAATTTTCTTTCTGTCAACTTTTCGTATTTCTTATCAAACCAAGTCTTGGACTGGAGCAGATAACGTTTGTTCTGTTCGAGTAAAGATTAGTTTTAGTAATAAGAATTTTACGGCACTTGCAACACAAAAAGGTCATGTAAGTGCCGAAGGTTAGAGGTGTTACAAGGGAGTAACAAACACAAAAAAGAAGGAAGAGAGATAAGGACGATAGACGTTTGATAGGAAAGAAGGAGCAAACCACAATAGAGCACCCGCCAACCAACCACTTCGAGTAAAGAGAAACATGTCTACTCAATAAAGGTCAATTAGTCAGGGGGGGTGGGGGGGGGGGGGGGAGAAAGAAAGAAAGATAGAAACAACAGATTGAAAGTTGAAAGAAAAGACATACGATCTACCACCAGTGCATCCTCGAACCACCCGTATGGAAAAGGGGGGGGGGGAGAGAGGAGAGGAGAGAGATGGGAAAGGATGAATACAATCAGTTAAGATTAATAGGAGTCAAGAATGCAACAAGTGACCTAAAACCTGGCTTTCAAAAAAGCTCAGAAAAGGCCAGAGGACATTTCTACAACAGTAACATTAAAGAGTTGGGGGGAAAAAATCGTCCGAGACTTGTTTTGGAAAAGAATACTGAAGTCAAACAGAATAAGGCGTAAAACTTCTGACAGTATAGAAATACCATTTGATGATGATGCATTTGTAAATTTATCATTAAATACGTATACATGTAATGCTGAATATATAAATAAGCACTTAATATTGTACATTTTCCTGTAATACTGTATATTTACCAGCCAGAAGCACCATGGAGCCTACACATTTATTTGACAACAGGAAAACAGCATATTTACCTACCAGTAAAACTGCAGGAATATTTGCCAGTAAAACAAATGTTATTTATTATTCATTTCTATTTATTCAATTGTCGTCCATTTGCTGGTTACTACTTTCTCTAATTCAAACTACAAGAACAGTAAAAAGTACATCCAACTACCTCGTCCTTGGCGTAGTGGTCATTCTTGACCAGAGCGTCTCCCGTGCCAATCACAGAGTCAAACGTGTCTTGGCGGGCTTCTATCTCGGCTCTGGGAAAAGGGATAAAAATTTTAATTTTTCATTATAATTTTTTCAGTTTTATGCCCTCTTCAACACATTTGAAATCAGTCAAGAGGCGGGCTGTTTTAATATTGCCTGTCAGGGCCAACCTCGGCTGAGAGGGATACAACGTACCAGAAGACAGAAAAAGAAACTTGATTTAACACTTGGTGTCACTTGACAAAATAATGCACCGGTGAAAATGATATATTTCGGTCACCTGGCACATTCTGTGCCAGGCCCAAGAAGTTCACTGCAGTCACCCTCCTAGCTGGGTGACCAGATGAGGTATTTTGTACTGCTGTCGGTGTGACTGCAAGGTGTTAAGAAAAAGAACTCCCCACTAGGGTCTTAAATGAACGTTTTCTGTGTCCGACAACAAAGACCTTAACTGGAACAAGTCAGACAGCTATTGGAGAGAGAGAGAGAGAGAGAGAGAGAGAGAGAGAGAGAGAGAGAGAGAGAGAGAGAGAGAGAGAGAGAGAGAGAGAGAGAGAGAGAGAGAGAGAGAGAGTTTTTTAAAAGATGGGGATATAATGAATTATGAAAATAAACATTGGTGACTCTTCTGATTTTTCGGAAACATATTGACTACTTAGTGTTTTACTATGGTTTTAGTAGAAGTCTTACGCCGCTCGCAACTGTATAAAGTCATTTGAGCGCCAAGGGGTGGATGTCATCAAAGAAGTCCTTACTCTGCTCACCTCTCTAGCTTCAACAGCACAAAGTCTGCTTCGACTATCAAGGCACCCCGGGTCACAAGAGAGTGACAAACATACAAAAGAAGTAGAGGAAAAATGACAAAAGTAAGGATTAGAAAAGAAAAAGCAGCAGTTCCCTGTTCTGCCTCATGCCATTCTGAAAAGTGACGTACTATGGAGTCTTACAGTGAGCAGTCACATGGTCATTTTCACAAGGTACAAAATAAAACTTATAAATTCCCTGCATGAGAAGGGAACTCATATCTTCAGCAGGCAACAACTAAGAGCCTAACCATAAGACCTCAGACACTGGTTTGTGGGAAAACATGCTTTCATTTTGTTGGAAGAAAAAAAAAGTACTGTAATAAAAGGGAAAAGAAGTAATTCTTGTGTCATAAATTTGGATAATAGTCCATAAAGACAACAATATGATTGTCCTTTACTAATATTGTGTAACCATATGGACCCTCATACTATGATTGTCATACACTAACATTTTGCACTCATAAAAACCCTAATACTATGATTGTCCAATAATTGTGTACCGAAATTCATAATATTATGACTGTCCTATATTTGGTTTCTCAATGAACCAGAAACATGAGTGCCCAAATTATTGTGTATCTCTGTGGACCACAATATCGTTGTCTTATAAGAATCTTTACCTGATCTCCTCGTGTCTCTGACGAAGCAGGTCCGCCCCGTTCACGTCCCGCACATTATGGTCCATCTTCATCTCTGCTTCTGTCTCTTTGGCCCAGTCCAGCAGATCTCTGGCCTAGAAGAGTAAACAGTGAATTGTTTATGAGTGAACAATGAATGAGTTATATTAATAGTAGTTGGTACACATCATATTTCTTGTAGTATGGAGCTAGTATCCTGTATAGGGCCTACAGCACATATCTAATTGTAAAAAGCAAGTTCAGAGACCAGATGAGTTGGAAACATATTGTTTGTGAATCGTAGTATACAGCACATTCCTTGTCGTCGTGTATAACAGAAGTCTGGCCTAGAATGGAAAACAACATATTGTCTAAGAATCCCAGTATAAGGTCAACAATATACTGTGTATGAGACCTGGTATTTAGTTTTAGTAAGAGTTTTACGCCACTTGCAACACGATGAGGTCATATAAGTGCCGAAAATTAGATGTGTTACTAGAGAGTAACTAACATAAAACAGAAGGAGGGGAGATCCGGATGAAAGATGCTTGATGGGAAAGAAGGAGCAAACCACACCAGAGAACCTGCCAACCACCCACAGATGTGGTATATAAAACAGAACTTTGTTTACGAGTTGTTTATAGCACATGATACTGTTTATAAAACTGTAGTAGCATACACCAGACCCAATGCCCAGGAGTTTTTGAGTAAATGGATTGAGTGATAAGAAGTAGGTCTACATTGACCTAAAAACAATCATTTACTGCTTTAAAAAAAAGAACAAGACAGGCAGTGAACTAAAAAATAATAACAACCGTAACATAAACCAACCATCCACCAGGAACAAGTCACAGAAACAAAAAGTGCAGGGGACTTTAAAGCTGCATAACAGTGACATTTTAGTGATTTAACAGCATTTCACAGCTACTTAAAATCACAGTGACTTAACCCTATCCGTGCGTCGTGTTTTACTATTGTATCCAAACGACATGGGGAACTCTGTGCCCGGACTTTCGAAAGAGGAAATTTACTCGTTAATCCGATCTGTACACTTTGCAAAGCAGTCTGTCAAAATGACTTTTTGAAAAATACTGAAAGTTTCAAAAAGATCTTCGCACTAGAAATATTCTAAAATGTGAAGAATACAACTCCTGGGGTAGAAAATGACCCCCGGCGTACAGATAGGGTTAACAAGTCAGCAATTAAATAACAACTCCTCAGTGACTTAACAGCGACTCAATAGTGACTTCAAAATGACTTATTAAAAAATACTTCAAAATGGCTTCAAAATGACTTAAAGAGTGACTTACACTGGCCATGAACTTGTGCAGATCGGCAGCTGCCAGCAGCAAGGCCTTCCTGTGGTCAGCCTTGGTCTGTAGCTCTGTCCAGTCGTCCACTACGGCCGCCTGGAGCTGCTCTATCTGCTCGGCGTTCTCACCCGGGTAGGCCTCTTGGAGCCGGGTCGAGTCGTCTATCAGCACTTGGAGCTGGAATGTAACAGTGATCGTTTTACGCCCCTTTTGAAACAATTTAGATCATTTGACTCTTTATCTCCGGCAAGCCACTCCCAGTGGCTCGCGGTCGGAACCACTGTGCCAGTGAGCCGCTGACAGCGGCTCGGGCACATTCCTTAATGACGACTTCGACATCAAACTACTTTTCGACAATTGCCAAAAACAGGTCTCTTATACTGGAAGTTCAATCATTTGATGAAAAACTATCTAAATAGGTTTGCTAGTTTCGATTTAATGACCCATTTAATGGTGTTTTTCTCATTTTTAGATTTAGCACCAAAAAGGGCCCGGGCGTAGTGGGTTTACCCCCCCTTGGAGATAAAGAGTTAAGAGGTAGGCTACTTCAACTCTGCCTGTCAAGGCCAACCGCGGGATGAGAGGTGGGCAATATCCCAGTAGACAGATATACACAATCGATACAAAAAACCCTCCCCACATGGGAATCGAACTCACATCTTCTGCATGTAGTGTCAAAGTGTCTAACTACTACACCACAGACACTGGTACTTTGGAGCTGAAGGATGAGGGAAGTGGTGGTGGGTGGGAGGAGGTTAAAGTTCATTACATTCATATATTGTTTTTGTTGTTTACAACTTTATATTGTGTGTGTTTGTTGGTGTGTGCATCTTTGTGCTTGTTTGTGAGTGTGTGCGTGCTGAGTCACCTATCAACTCTTGAGGCTGGGGGTCAGGGGTCAGGGAGGAGGAAAAGGAAATATTTGTGGGACGGGTTAGAAGGGAATGACGTATCGTGCTGGGGGATGGGGGG